TTGTTAAACAAGTTTGTGGCGCCGTTTTTCGGTGTTCATAAATTTGTCATCATTACCCAAGTAATGAATATGAAGTTTAGTACATAGGATGACCCATTAGTTATTTTTATGCTATAAATTTTAGGTTTAAACCCTCCAATCGTCCTCATATTTGTTGGAGAATCTCAAATGGGTCCTCGTTTTTTAAACTGTAAAAATTGGGTCCTTATATTTGTAAAATTGAGCCAAATTTGCCCTCTCCGTTAAGTTTTGACAGACGACGTTAAACTATGATGACGTGTTTATGCTGATGTGCATGGTTTGATTATGTGGGATTTTTATTTAAATTAAAGGATTATGACATGGAAAAAATTAAAAGGATCATGCCATTAACCACCGAGCGTTCTTCATCCAATCAGGCCATGGGCCTCGCCGTTGGAGCTTAGTTAGCGGCACTTACTCCTCGACTCTTTGTGTTCTTCATTGCTGTGACACAATGAATCTCTCTGCCCCACCACCCTATCTTTTTCTCCTTCAATCCCCTTCTTTGTTTATACATATATATTCACCTCATTCCAATATGCACAAAAGTAAAACAAACATAAACAAATATGGGGTTATCAATGCCTTGGAACCATGGAACCTCCCAAGTATGTGATTTATAAACAAATAAATAAATAAGAAAACTTTTGTGCATATGATTCACTCATTTTTGGTAAAATGGTTGTTTGCAGCACTTGCGGGGGAGCTTTGTCGTGGGGATACAGAGCAATGGTTTTTCTTTTCGCCTAGGCAAGAGAGAGAAGCCAGAGGAGGGAGACCTAGTAGAACCAGAGCTTCTGGGTACTGGAAAGCTACTGGTTCACCATCTTCACTGCTTCCTCAAGCTCTCCCTATGCGCCTTCAAGATCGTCCTTTTCAGCTCCCACCCTGATGTTGCCACTGACATCGAAAACACTGGCATCTGGGACTGGGACTCTTTCTCTTTGTACTCGCGGGGCATCGACCATCTGGTCGGCACCATGGAGGAATCTACGACGGAGGAACCACCGCCATTGTCTCCGGTGCAACCTTTATCCACCTCGAAGACCAAATCTGGGCCCAAACCAGCGATCCCCACCGCAAAGCAGAAGACCAAATTAAGCGTCTAACCAAGGACCCTCAAGTTGTTCCTGCTCTGGTCCAGCAACATGCACACTGTCAAAACCCCCAACATCCACTTCCACCGCCGTCAACAACACCCTTCTCCTCTTCGAACGCATCCATTGACAGCTGCGACCTAAACGCTTCTCCACCTGCATCATCGGACAGCACCACGACCTCGTCAATGAATCCCATCTCTCCCACATCGTTTCTCCCTTCCCCCTTACACTCCAAGATTCGGCTAAGCCCTAAAGCCCAAATAAAAAAAATCAAACAATTTCCAATTTTTACCAATTTTTATCCTTTAACAGAAAATTGTTCAATGAATTCACAACACTTGATTGAGTGTTACTAGGAGATGATGAAGGAGAGGATGACGCAAGTGGCCGACCAATCGGAAACAATCCCTTTGCCGCAGCATAGGCATCGAGTGACGACGTTAAAAAAACTATGTACCACTCATCTAAGATCACATCGAATTCTTTGGCAGCTTCTTTCATGGCTTTCACTCCCAAATTCATCAACCTCAGAACAGGAACAACATTAGCCACCTTGCACACTCCCTCAACAGGAGGAGTCGTACGGTAACAGGGCATGTCGAACTGTCACCGTAGAGGAGAAAGAACGAACCGTATTCTCATAATAAATTTTGTCACGTCAAAAACTCTTAATTTTAAAAAAAATTCACATAATAAAAAAATTTTACATCAGTGTGCACCACGTCATTACATTTTAACGCAGTCTGTGAAAATTTAATGGACATGACTTAATTGACTTAATTTTTCAAATATTTGGACCCAATTGAGACATTTTGCAAATACGATTCAAACAACCCCATCGTCACTTTCTACAATAAGGTTTGGTTCCTCATTCTCAACTTAATTACTTTTTCATTCTTGCCCCCATAACTAAACTAACTGTTAGATGACATATTTTGCTATAGCACCAAGTGTTAAGTACCCGTTTATAATTCTTTTTGCTAAAATTAAGGTTTATTCTTAATTTCTGTCTTCTTTTTTACCGTTTCATTGATTGATGAATATTCTGACTTATTTAAAAATTCACAACTTATTATATCTAATTAGTCTTCAGAAGAATGCAAAGTTTTCAAGGGTGAAAGCAGTGATTCATCTAAATTTCTATTTCGGGTGAAGAAAATGAAGAAATCGTCAACGATTCCGTCTGGAATTACTAAACTAAACGTGTTCCTTGCAAAAAACCGAGACGAAGAGAAAAGTGACTTTAGAGTGATCATTTATGGAAGTAAACGGTCGTGCAGTGTTTATGCAGGGGAATCTCCTACCATTGTAGCTCAAGTATATGACTATACTTATTTTGATGCATGTTTTTCATAATTAGTAAAATTTGAATGTATTAGTCTAATAATATATGCATGTTTCTCTCTGTAATATAGGTGGAGAATAATGGTGGCTTCAAAGTTTCGGTCTATCCCAACGTGGACTACGCATTCATATTGGCTCTACTTATGATTGTTAAGGATACGGAATGTTCTGATACTGAAGAAATAGATGCTCTTAGTGCCATACAAATGACTTCAAGCATTTTATCGCTTGTATAAGAGAATCTAAGAAAAAGTGAGGAAATAATATTTCAAGTGACTCCACGTATAGATGTCCCTTGTGTTATATATTGTATGAAAAAATAAATTTTGACACAAATCTTTTAGAATATTTTGATACAATATATTATCATTTTTTAACTTGTTTATTATTTATTTATTATTATACTGATGTATTTTCACCAGTACAATAATAAAAAAAGACACCGGTTAGTTTTCCTTATAGGCATCGGTTGTAAAACCGATGCATACATGGATGAGGTAAAAACGACACGTTTTATGCCTCGGTCAGATGTCGAGATAAAACAGTACAGAATTATGCCTCGGTTATCTAAGAACCGAGGCAGTATATTTTTTTTTCTCAGATTTTAGTACATAATGGAACCGTGCTCTTCAGATCCAAAAATCAATTTTCATGTCACAGAGAATTCCCATTGCTGTTGATGGATCATGTGTAAACCTTCAACCCGAGAAGTGGCTCTGACGGCTGAGTGGTGCAAGTGAAATTGTTTTTCAGCAACAAGAAAATCCCAAAACCAGAAAATCCAAAACCAGAAAATCCCAAAATTGAAAATCCAAAACCAGATATGAAGAAGAAGCAGAAGAACAAGAGTAGATTTGACGACAAGCAGAAGAACCAAGAAGCTCCCTTAGGGTTTCCAATCACTCGCGGAGGGGAAGAATGGCTGAGGCAGCAGCGGCAGCGGCAGCGACGACGGAGGACTCTCCGATCTGGAGCGGCTTGGCGATCTGGAGCGGTGGATCTGGAGCGGTGGATCCGGAGCAGTGGATCTGGAGTGGCGGATCTGGAGCGGTGGATCTGCAGCGGCGGTCGTTTGGAGGCAGCGGCGTCTGGAGGCAGCGGCAGTCGTCTGGACTGTGCACGAAATGGGAAGAATGGGAGAGCACAGAGGGGAAGGGAGAGCACCGAGAAAGAAGAAGTTGTTCGAGTGTGAAAATGAAAAGGTTCAGAGTATAGGTAGTAAGTGTATAGGCAGCGGTCGTCTGCGTAACCCGAGGCAATAGCGCTTTTTCAAAAAAGTTGTATCCTCGGGACAGATGTATAGGTCTCGGATCTGCTTCTAACTGAGACAATATTTCCATTCGACCTCGGGTCAAGCTGTAACCGAGGCATATAGTCTTTTACGCTTCGGGTTTTGCGTAACCATATGACGCGTTAGTTTCCCGTTTTTTTTACTAGTGTTTAGATCTAATGAAAAAAAATGAGGTATGTATTGTGTTAAAATGTTGTTAAA